TGGCGGCTCTCCAAGAAGGCGATGAACTATTCGCTTCCATGTTACTTGCTCCCCGGCCTATTACAACTTGTGAACTGGAATAGACAGGCTGGATAGGGTTGTCAGACACACGACAATTTATGTTTGGATATTATAATTAAAATTGGCAATTTACAACAACCATTGTTTTCAGATTATCCATATTATCAATAAAAACCAAATATAATAATTTTAATCAATATTTTGTACTACTGTTACTTTCTTTCAAACGAAGAATTTAGATTGAAAGAAAGAAATGCAATATTTCAATATATTTTCAAAATTTCGACATAATTCCTTCAATTTACAAATGTTCTGTTACTACATTGTATAATTATTAGTTTTTCATGAGGTTGGATGTAATCAGATATCAAGTAAGCAGACGATCAGGGATAAATATCATTACTGTTCTTATATATAAATGTCCAAAATTTACAATAAGTTCAGGAAAGTTACAACCCTAAAGGCTACTTACAGCTATTTAGAAGTAAGCTGGATATACACAGGCGATGTTTAGAAATCTTGGGACATTGCTCTTTACGATATTTATAAACGTCTTGCATATGCATTTTCTGCTTTAATCACTGAGGACATACAATGTAAATGTCAATCACATTTTATATTCGAGAACACATAACTCGTAACTAGGAATGGCAATGCATGAGGTGTACCACGGATATCACAGTATGTCCATGGTGCTCTTCATATCTATAGGCGACGGTACCACTTTTCAGGTAGGCCGTCAGATTGTTTACCATTTCTAAGTAACAGATAAACAGTAGTACAGTGAACACTATATAAGCAACCTCTTTATAAGCAAGATTCTTTATATTTTATTTATTCTACTCAGCTTAGTTAGTAAAAGAAATAAGTAAAAATATTTTCCAGACGGTAATTATTTTTATACTCCTTTTTCCCTATAAGCAATTTTTCCCAATAAGATTTTTTTTATTGAAATTGGTTCAAATGAGTTGCTTATATAGAGCGTTCACTGTAGTATTATTTCAGTCGTTTACTGCTGGACATAAGCCTTCCCCATAAGGGGATTTTTGCCAGTAGTTGCTACATTTGACAGGCGGGTTGGAAACTGCAGTTAGATTTTAAAGATGTTTTAAGAGGGACGCTGCTGCCCATCCCTCGTCCTCTATTAGTCGCCTCTTACAACACCCACGGGAATGGAATGGGTGGCCCAATCTATGCTGGGGTACTCACAAAATTTTTTTCATTGTATTGAGAAATGCTAATAGCTTATGTGATAAGGAATCACTGATAGACATTGAATTCTTTAGGATTCTCGAGTCTGAGATTGTTATTTCTCTTCAGACAGTAATTCAAAAGCGCATGTAAAAAGACGGACTCGTTTAAATAAGACAAATGTAATGAAATTGTTTTATTATATCTGTCCATTTTTTCCATTAGTAAACCCGTCCTGGCTTTGCACGGGTTTACTAATGGAAAAAAGTACCAAATCTTTGATAATTCTTAATTCAAATCTTTTACAAGACCTGTCCCGACAATAACAAAGATAACGAAAAAAAATTTTTGCTAAATAAATACATTCAATTTAAGATAATTGACTTTTATTTATTTAGATTATGCACGTGGTATGGACATGTGATGAATATAAAGTTGATGTAATAACAAAAGTATTAAGTTTGAATTTGGACTTAAGATGATTGATCTTCTTTGTGTACACACAAGAAGAAATTGTTGGAGTGTGTCAAAGATCCATAAGCAGAGAGTGAATAATGATATGATTGCAAACAGAGATGAATGGACCAGAAAATTATTACACCGACTCGAAATAGATACGAGAAAAGGGCAGGTGAAGCAAATTGTACCAATTAGCATAAAACATTTGCATAATTATAACGTACTTATACAAATTAAATTGCATATCTCCAAATTTTGGGTACGCAAGAATTATGAAAAGGATTTCGGGGAACGCAAAGTCAGGATTGACTGACTAATGTCGTTTTGGGCTTTTCAACCGACTCCAAAAGGAAGAAATTTCTCGATTCGGTTGTATCTTTTTTTATTAAATATTTTAATTTATTTATCCAAAGCATAAAATACATTGTATAGGAAAGATACTACATAATAACATTACAAAAATTATAAATTAAAAATACAGTTCATTTACAGTCAATACAATACAAATTGTTTTTTTCTGTTTTAATTACATTTAGTCCATTTCGTAAGTTTATATAATCAATACATACAATCAATACAGCTATACAAATAGATTAATTATTACACACTTATTTTTTGTTTCTTTTATATATATATATATATATATATATATATATATATATATATATATATATATATATATATATATATATATATATATATATATATAGTTACACAGATTATAATAAATTAATATTATTGCTTAAAAATTGTCATCATTCATTTATTGTTGTCATTAAAATACTCATCTACGGAATAGTAACATTTATTCAATAGTAATGATTCAAATAGAATTTTGAACGAAACTACATTATAATTAGTTTTAAAATCTATAGGTAAATTGTTAAATAGTTTTTATGTTTGTTACTTCATAACTCCACTGATTGTAAACCGATTTGGAAAATTCCTTTTTTAACTAAACGGATCATACTGTAAGTATTTATTGGTTCGATATACATTTATCCAAATCAGCTTCGGAGTTTAGTTTTTTTTTTATACAACTTAAAATGGCAAATAAGCTGACGGCCCACCTGATGGAAAGCGGTAACCGTCGCCTATAGACATGAGCAGTACCATGGACATAAAACAGTATACTGTTTTGTCCATGATACCCCCCATGCGTTGCCATCCCCAAGGTCTCAGGTGTTATTCCTCTGTACCCAGTAAATTCACACCATATCCTATCCTTCAAACCGAAACTTCAAATCAATATAACAGGTTTCGTTACAATCGAAGTCTTTTTTTTTGGGACACAATCTATAATTATCAACAGACATAACTTGTAAATACATGCAAAAGTTTCACCCGGTACTCGTGTCATTAGTTGGTCACAGTAGTTTCCCTTCTCGTACGTCATCGTTCAACGTCATGATATCGTGACTAGTGGAACAATATAGCATGATTGGAACACCTAAAATACGCAACCGAGGGCTATTTGATAACGACAGTTACATAATTTTCCCGGTACACGCACGTCAAATCAAACTTTACAAACCTTTAAGCTAAAGACCCAAATGGCGTGTCGCGTTTAAACGCCACGATTCACGTCGAAATGTTCCTTTGTAACACAAACGAACTTGAATTTAATACATAATTCGATTTCCTGCTTACATCTGAGGTATTAACATAGTTTTAACGGTGCAACTTTATGTAAATCAAGTTAGGAGATTGTTTAAATGGGATAAAACAATTATATGCTGTCCTTTAATGAACCAAATATTAATTTCAAGGTATAATAATCAAATCATACAAACTGGGGGGAAAGGGATTGTTAGTAATGGAGACTAAGAATCTTATTGCTAGCAATATACCCAACCAGGTCGCCATCCTCGCGGTTCTCCCTGGAAACTATCATGGTTAATTGCTGATGAATTCATCATGATGGGCTAACTGGCCTGTTTTTATTCTCATCTATCACGCTTCACTGGTGTTCCGCCAGCGTATCCCGTTAGCGCAGGCGGGGTTATCAGACCATTTTCACACATAAAAATAATCATATAAACTAGTCGTCACTAGTTGAGAGACTTTGTCCTTTACTACAATACATCTTACGAATTTTATTCAATGCCCTTCAAATCATCTTCGGATGTTAGACTAATAAGCTTTTATCCATTGACTTCAAAAATAAGGTTCTCAATTTAAGTTGGAATTTTTTTATATTTATTACCTCACACCTTCGTCAAATTGATTTAAAAAATTCTTTTTTTATCTGAAACTATATATTTACAAATTGGCCTTTTAGAAATTTTATTAAAATTGTTTAAGTAGTTTTGTTTTTAAATCAAAATAACTGTTTTTTGTCACAATTCAAGCGTTTTTTTATTGAACACAATCGTGTTCAATGGTCGTTGGAAGAGATAAGAGAGGTAAGCCCCACCAATAATGTAAAAGTCGAAATAGTTTTTAAGTAGATTTGCAGAGGTTTCCTGATGACTCTCTCTCTCTTTTCATTTAAGAGTTTCCTCTTGTCGGTGCAACTAATTCATACATCTTTTTCCAGCTTTTTTTTTTTATATATATATATATATATATATATATATATATATATATATATATATATATATATATATATATATATATATATATATATATTATTTACCTGTATATTTGTTTATGTATTAATAGTTGTAGCACTTGCCCGCTAATGCCCGCCCGCTAACGAAATGCTTTCGCACTGTATTGGGTTGACTGGAAGAGATCTCTGTCAGATATAAGTCCACCCTTGCTCACAAAATTTATAAATACATTATTTTATGTGTAACTTACAAGTGCAATAAAGAACATATATAATATATTTGGGACAATATTGATTCTTTTGTTGTTGTTCTTGTATCAGCCGTTAACCGTGTACTATTGAACACAGTCATGTCTATAAGGGGTAGTATTCGCCACGGGAGGTTTGGCAACCGCAGTTTGGCGGGGGGAAAGGGATTGTTAGCAACGGAGTTTGACAGCCCCATTGCTAGCAATATGCCCTGTTAGGTCGACCTCCCTGGAGACCATCGTGAACAATACTTGTTGAATTCGTCACGATGGGCCAACTGACCTGCTTCCTCCTCACCTGTCATTCTTCACTGGTGCTCCGCCAGCGTATCCCGATAGCGCAGGCGGGGTTACCATTCCCTTATCACCCATTACAAAAAAAAACCGCAGTTTGGCTTTTAGGACATTAATTCGTTTAATAGTTTAAATTATACAATTTAACAGTACCGGCTGATATCATCATTATATTATGTCTGTTATCACCCATGTGATGAGACAAATAAATAAATCTATACATGGACACATACCGTACAATCGGCCGGGAAGTTCACTGCTTGAACATAAGCTGCAGCGGGAGTGATCAAGTCTGAAAATAAACATAATTTTTTTATTGTACACTACCTTATTATTGTAAATGTTTAATTACATTATTCTACTACAATTATGAATATGAAACATGATAAAGATGTTTAGATATTTTTTTTCAATTACGCTTAAAAAGCTGGAAGGATATGAATTCAATTTAGTACACGGTTTGGTTATATCCTAACTTATTATAGGGGGGGGGGGGAGAGATTGTTAGTAATCGGACTAGAGGCCCCATTGCTAACAATATACCTTATCAGGTCGACCTCCACGCGGTTCCCCCTGGAAATCAGCTTGATTATTTTTTTACAAATTTATCACTATGGACAAACTGACCTGCTTTATTCTCACCAATTATCTCTCACTGGTGTCCCGCCAGCGTATACCGTTAGCGCAAGCGGGGTTACCATTCCATTATCATACATAAGAAACCCTTATTAATAAAAACTAAAACCTACAAACCTATATTATCTATTAGTGTTTTATCACTTTCTTTTAAACTGAGAATTAAGCACAAAAAAAAGAGACAACACAGTTTAATAGTGCAGCGTTATCTTTACATTCTCATCCATTAAAAAAAACTTATTACACGGGATATTTCATTATAATGATACACGCGTGAGATGCTAAGGGAAACAGTTGGTATGTCTATAATCGTGGTATAGTGTCCGCGTATATCTATTTTATCTATTAGCCGTCTATTTTAAGTTTTTTTATTTATTTATTTTCACTATAAAACCAATATAACAATCAAGCATACTAAAAACCACAGAGGTTTGTCTGGGATGCCATACATTCTGCATACATTGCAACATGTCTACTGCTGTATATAGACCTCTCCTATAAGGGGAGTTTTGACAGTAATTACCACACATGGCCTCAATCACGAAGGAGAGCCTCATCGACGATCCACTGTCATTGTGAAAACCACGACCACTCTGTCAAGAGTGTACGACTGAAGAAAGAGACCACACTTGGCAGATGAATTGGCACTATTAGACTTTGAATGTTTTAAGAGGGAAGTTGCCACTCAAACTTCGATCTTTAAGTTCCCTTAGCCGCCTCTTACGACACTCACGGGAAAGGAAAGGGTGACCCTTTCTACACTGGGACTATACGGCGTCGACATACAATTATTATGGTAATTGCGTCTAATAATGAAAAGGCTAGAAGGACGGTGATGATGACGTAAACGAATTTGTCAGTGACCTTTAGACAGTTTATTCAGCCGTGAACAACAGAAGTCGTTTGTAATTGTAACGTATTCACGTTACAGTATTTGCCAAGCCCATCCGGCTCACTCCCAACAAGATGAATCCAAAGAAATGAGTTAATGGTTTTCGCTTCGTAGCTTGTTTTCTATTGGTAAGTATTTGAAGAACTCTCAATATTAAATGTTGTCACTGAAAAATATATTATGTAACATTCGGTTTTTGTTCCTGTTTCTAGCACAATTAAATGCATTTCGTATGCCAGATTCTGGTGAAGAGCGTGAATACTATTTTAATACTATGCACCATCCTTTTTCCCACTTTTCAAACAAAATGCAGTTATTTGAGTTATTACTCTATACTAGGGGTGGCCAACCAGACAATCACGACTGTTAGTTCAGTCGATTGTGACAAGGTAAAAAAGAATATAATATTTGCTAAACTAGCAAAAGGTGGGATATGACAGTGAATTTACAGAGTACAGAGGAATAACACCCGAGTCCTCTCGAATGGCAACCCATGGGGGGTATCACGGGCGAAACAGTATACACCTATCCCCCGATTTACACGGTACTTGTTTTACACGTTTTCGCTTTTACACGGGTTTCCAAATAAGTTTTTTTTTTTGTTTTTATCGCACTCTACTAAATGCTACTGTGTTTGAACACGTGCGCTGTGTACACATCTCACGGAGAATCCCGAGCTTATGTGCTGACTTGCTGCACATGCACACTGTGTCTGTATTTCTTCGCATAAAATTAAAGTTTTATCTACGGAAAATTGTATTTGAGTGAAAGTTTCACAGTGTCAGAAAGATTTAATTTTTCAGTTTAATGTATTGTAATTAAATAAAAAAACAGTGTTTCCGTAATATATTACATATTTTAACCTGTCAATGCATTTTATTTTTATTTCTGTGTACACCTAAAAATATTGAAAAAAATCACAACTGTTAAATAGCAAAATTATGCATTTTCTGCAAGCTTTTCGATTTACACGTTTTTCTCAGGAACGTATCTACCGTGTAAATCGGGGGATAGGTGTACTCTGTTATGTCCATGGTACTACTCATGTCTATAGGCGACGGTTACCACTTTCCATCAGGTGGACCGCCAGCTTGTTCGCCATTCAAGTTGCGTAGAAAAAAAACTCAATTTACCCGTTATTTTAATTGATTTTAAATTAGAAAGAGATTATCAATTAGATTTTTTTGTGTCTGTTACTCCATAACTCTGTCTTTTTTTACAAAGTAAACTCTTGTTGTTCAACTTAGTTTCTTATGATTTGTGAGGATAGCAAATACTAGAGACAAGACGAATGTAACTTTGCTCAGATTTGTTGTTTAGGAAACAAGAAATATTATGAAATCTAAGTAAGTATATTACTTGAGACATTACTTTGCGACTAAAAGCTACGGAAAAGTTATGAACTCATGTACTGAGGTCATCGTACGAACCTTTTTTGGTCTTAGGTATATAAAGCTCTGAGTGTTATTTTTATTGGCTACTTGTAGCCATAATGGAAAAAATAAGCCAAGATTGTTACTGCAAACCTAGACTGTACGTGCATAACAAAGCAATGATGTTAATAATGATGATTAAATCGATTTATTATCACAATAATCGAATAAGGTAGATACCGATAAGTTTGACAGTTTTTTTTTATACTCCAAAGATGGTTAGCAAGCATACAGCCCGTCTGATGGTAAACGATCATTGTAGCCTACGGACGCCTGCAACACTATGAGTTTCATGTGAGCATTGCCGACTCTGAAGAAACCTTAATATAACCTTTTTGAAGAACTCCATAATGCAGTCTCTAGAGAAAACCTCGGCAGGGAGCTTAAGTTAAATAGACAAACAGATGTATACACCTGCCACAGTGTCTAAATACATAATACGTACTTACAATTAACGCACAAGGCTACACGCGTAATACCGTGTCTAATCCAATAACAGTGAATGAAAATAACAATACATAATAAATACTAGAATTGTATCGACAAAAATATTAACTACATGATACAATATATCGATTTAATTGTTATAAAAGTGGTTCTTCTCCCTTTTTTTTTTTTAATAATAATAAATTTATTTGCATTAAATAGGGTAGGTATCGGTGGTGTTATATTACATAAAGTTTCGAGCCTATTTAGCCATTACAGAATAACATGCAAATGACACATTTTGATAGGTACTGATTAATTTATGCATCGACAACAACTATACTAGATATTTATCTATTCTTTTTTGAAAAATTCGTCTAATTCTGGCTGTAGAATAAAGAATGTCACATACATGAACCTTGACAACATTTAATTCCTTTTTTTTGGCGGTCTTGTAAATACAAGATAGCATAGAGCTCTTCAAATATTGAGTGTTACAAGCAAGCCAAACTAAAATAAATATTAGACCGCAATTGCGACCGTCTTCAATGTCTACAATAATACTATTTGTCCAGTGTTAAATATTCCATACAGCTAACTGATATTTGTCTTTAAAACTTTAGGTCAAGGTATATTATTATTATATATGCCTGCAAAAAAAAAAAAAAAAACAGCTGAAAACGTTTCTGTTTGAAATAGCTTTGTTATAAATTAACTCTAATAGTCTTACCTTCTAGTTCTATCTTAGTACACAGATACGAGTCGAAACGGACAAAAAATTAAAGATCCGTTATTGAAACAATGTCTGTAAACTTCTGTTACTGATTTGTTTTTACATTTTAATCAAATTTAGAACGCTTCACGAGTTAGAGTCCTGTATATATATATTTTTCTTTATGCTACTTAGAATGGCAAACAAGCTGACGGCCCATTTGATGGAAAGTGGTAACCGTCGCCTATAGACATGAGCAGTACCATGGACATTACAGAGTATACTGATACCCCCCAAGCGTTGCTATTCCTGAAGACTCAGGTGTTATTCCTCTATAGGATAATTTCACTGCCATATCCCATCAAACCGAAACACAGCCATGCAAACACACTGCTTCACGGTAGAAACACCAATAGGATAGAGGTGCCCAAGCAAACGACTTTTGTACAAAGTCTCCCTCTGGTAGTCCTGTATGTACGAGTAGATATTATGATAATTTGTTACACGTAATTTGGCAAACTCATGAATCACTGCGTGTAACAGAACGTCTAGTCACTGAATAAATAATTTCGTTTTAATCAACTTAATAGGATTTTAGGAGTGTTTAGTACAGTTATTAGTCATCATGACGTGTGTGTGTGTATGTGTGTGGTGTAAGGTTTTATTTCGCTCATTTGTTATTTCTATACCTGAGTTGCGTTGTAAAGTATGTCGTTCCCCTGAGCTTAGGCCCAGAATAAATGTCTACGTAACTATTTGTTTAGGCTCGCCTGTATTTTCCATTTTAGGTTGTTGATTCAACTATATTTATTTCTATTTACAGTTAATTTATTACTGCGTACATTTATGTAAATATTGTCTAATTAGACCTACCGCTATGACCTTCCCTTGTCCTATTATTTAATATTAAGCAGGTTTTATTCTCTTTAATTTTTCCCTATCGGATATCTTTTTATGTTCACCTAACGCAATATCAATACGATTATTATTTCAGTTTCATAAATTTTAATGAAAGTGGCTATTGTTTTAGTCATTTACATGGCATATTAAAATACAGAGTATACATGAAAAGTATTAATAATGACGAATTATTTCCATACGTTTCGTATATAAATCCATGCCTAAACCTACGATTGCGTGGATTTACCATCATAAGCGACTTTTCAGTTAATGTTTAAATTTATACGGTAAAT